TCTTTTTCTGTTGTATAAGTATCATATCTCTAATGACTCAGATTGAATCATCACATATTTGTCTTTATATATACTTTTTATTGTTTCAATGCTTTGTTAAATATTTTTTTCTGTTTTCTTCACTTCAATATTTTATTTCGAGTTCTTTTTGTTTCTTTAAATTCTCTTCACTAAGATATCTGTCAATGGTCGCAAACAATGCGATTACATCATCTTAACAAAACATAAACTTCTTATTAGAAATTTGTTAATCTAAAGAAGACAAGATTTTCAGATTTTATCAGACATGAATCAATACCAAAATTAAAATTCTATAAAAGATTAATAATAGATGCAAATTATATTTTCTTTCATTCGATTGAAAGACATATTGATCATAATGAGTACGTTCTTTTTTGTATAACATTTAAATAGAGGTCTTCTATTACTTTTAGATAGTTCTGATCAAAAATTTTAACAGATATTATTTTAGTTTTCTATTAATCTTCATTTTATATACATGATCTTCTTTCATATGTGTATTTTTCACATGTTTCCGAGTCATTCTACTAAGAACATTGAATAATAATTTTTCAAATGATAAAAACTTATGTAATTGTTCATGAACAACTTTATTCATAAAACTTTTCAAATACATGTTTATAATGTTATTAAAATGAAATGAAATCATCAAAAAAATACACTAACAATGTAAATACATGTTGATCATGATCTTTTTACAATATTAAAAATGATATATATTATATTCTATATAAATCAAAGAAGTTACTTTTTTTTATACTTTACTCCAATACGTTCATTTGTTTCAAAAAGAATAATATCAGATGTAAGAGATTTATTTTTCATTGCATTAAAGATTTTTTTTGCAGCATCATATTTTAGTTTATGATAATATTGAAAATGATTTATCATTGATGCTAATGCCATTTGTTTTTTTGTACATGGTATATGCATTAATATAGATAATGATGATTGTGCACCAAATATATTTGTTGCATTTGTTAAAGGACAATCACTAAAAAATTCTTGATTCTAGAAAAAAATTTAAAAAAAGTTTTGTTTTTCAACATTAACAACAAAAGAAAAAAAACAATTAAAAATAACTTACAAGAATAATTTCATTATCAGAAAATAATTTTATTTGATCCGATGATGATTGACTATTAACAATAGCATTTCTTAATCGAAGTGCACATTCAGGTAACATTCGATGATAATATTCTAAATGTCTAGTTAAATGTGATTTATTATATGTTGATCCATCACAATCAAAACGAATATTATGTTCAAGTGTAATACCAAATACATTTGGTTGAATTAATGGACATGAATAAGTTTTTAAAATATTACTTATCATAAACTTTGGCTCATTTATTATTTCAAAACTAAAAGACATAAAAGATTGAAATATTGAAAAGAAGAAAATTTCTTTTTATTTTTCTTTGATAGACTACTTTGTAATTGATTTATTTTTGTTCTCTTGTTTTTCAAATGAAGAATTTTTTATTTGAATTGAATATGATTTTATTTGTTCAAGATCATGTTGACTAATATAACATTCATTTTCTTGTTTAGATTTTATTAATTTATGTTGTTTATCTTTTAATAAAACATTGGCAGCTTCAGCAAATGCAAGTCGTTTTCGAATATCTTCTTGATCTTTATCATACATACGATTAATACGTTCAATTTCATATTGACGACGTTGAATAATCTAATTATTTTGTTTAATTTTTCAAAATAAAATAAAATCAAAATCAAAACTCATACTATTTCAGATTTCACTCGTTAGATCTATAGGAATTGATCAAAGGAATCCACTAAGTAATAGTAGTACTGATACAATTTGATGAGTAAATGAAGATTTCAAGTTTGAATGTTTGATAAATCTTTAGAGAATTAAGCAGTTCGAACACTTATAAAAAAAGACATATACTTTTTTGTGCAATGGTTTTGTCTACATAATAACTGTTGTGGGTTTATTGAATAAAAGTGAATTGACAACAAATAATTTAGACTGATTTTTTACAATATTTTATCAAGGAAGATAGAATACATGTAGGAAAAGAAAGAAAAATAGGAGAGCATAAGTGAAAACTGAGAGCTATTCACACCTGCTGTCAAGTAAACCAAAAAGAGTTTTGAGCTAAATTACGAAAAATGGCACGGAATTATCAGTTTCACGTACATCAATGCAACAAAACATCTTCAGATAGAAGTCGCAAATCGAAGTTATATTTCGGCAATACGTTATCAGCTTCGAGACTAACATATTTGTGTAGTAAGACAAGCGGGTGAGATCTTTTATTGCAGTTATAGTCCATCGACTGAACTTCGACTCATATCAAAGTACTTTCAAAAAATTTGAAAATTTTTTGGTTTTCTGTTACTACGAACAATGAAGCGCACATGATGTCAAATGGCCCAGCAATAGTTTGCTGATGATTATCGTTCGGTTTCAATCTGATGGGTAATTTTAGAATTTTTCGTGCATAGTAGAAATGTGAGTTTTATCAATGGATATCGCGTATTAATATTTTCTCATTGATCAACTGTTCGTTCGCGTACACATCAACCCATCTTTTTATTTCGTAATTTTCGTCATGAAATTATTTAATTCTAGTCTTAAAACTCAATTAAACATCCATCGAAAATCATCAATTATTATTTTGCACTCACTTGTGTCTCAGCGAAATTCGTTTCTTGCATCAGAATACATGTTGATTTATCTAGATGATCGAGTAAATCCGTAAAATCATGTAAAAATATATCACCATGATCAATTAAATGTATCAAACAAAGATTTTGCATACAATGGTTTATACATGAAGAAAATATATCAAACGAACAACCTGGATGTTGACATGTCATTATTATACAATATCTGAAGAGAAATTGTGTGTTTCTATAATACAACATAGGTTTAATAACAGAAAAAAAAAATCATATAACAATTATCAACTGAAACAAATCTTTGTCTTTATTCTTGATGTTCTTCTTTTTTATATTCAAAAAAAAACAATGAAGATCAACTAATTTTTTTTAATCAGTTCTTTAATTTGTGATGGTCGAAGACGATGAACATTTTGTAAGTGTACTGGTAAGGATTTTTCAATGAGAAGACTTGAACATGGTGTAGAACGAATTCCACTTCTTCGTGGCGTGTTATGTAATGGACATGATACTTTATCATAAATTATAGTTATTTTTGTATTCGATGGAAATATTTTTGTTTGTATTGGATCTAAATTAAGTCTAATGGCTTTGAGTAATTCTTTTGCATAATGACTCGTAAGATGATGATAATTACAAAAATGTTCAAATAAATGTAGAACTTTTTTATTCGGAGAACATAAGCGTACATTATGTGATGACAATAAACCATACATATTTAAACTTATCAATGGACATTGTGTACATGACACTTCTGTTTTTTGTAAATTAATTCTATTTTCTTCTTTATCTAAATTAAAAATATGAGCAAGTATTGAACATAAAAGCAAAAATAACTCGCATCATCTTCATTACGAACATTCTTCCTTAATTGAAAGAAAAAATGCCTGCATTATTGAAATAGAACGAAAATAGATATAGTAAGAAGATCAATATGGATAACTTGATTCAAGAGTGAATATTACATCCTTTGAGCTAGTCTTGTGGCACATGTCACGTGTCGTCCATGGTTTTTTTTAATATGTGTTTTGGACGAAAGTATTTGAAGTAATACGGATGAAGTTACATTAAATAAAAAACAGAAGATGTGGTGTGGATCTGTATGCGATGATGACGATGAGAAACGAAAAAAACTTACATCCTGACTCTATTTAATTGTTTGATTGATGACTTTTTTTCTGTATTTTTTCACTTAATAAGTTTTTTTGTTGCTTTTACAGTGTAGTCACTTTTTACCTCTATTTCTTCTATTTCACTTTGCGGAAATTTTTCTTCAAGTGATAAAAACAGTGTGCGCAGTCAAGATGAAATCAAACAAATAAATTAATAAACCTTTTAAAGAATTTTTATATTGATTTATTTCTTTTGATAATGTATCGATTTGTTGAAAATCATTTTGTTTTAATGAAATCTCATTAGTTTTTATTTGAACTAAATGTTTAGATATTTTATTATGTTGTTCTTGAAATTTATTGATCGTAATTAATGGTAGTTCAATTATATTTATTTGTTTTTCATGAGTTTGTTTAAGATAATCAAGTTGTTTATGTTGTTCTACAGTAAAAATTTGTTTTCTGGTTTCCATCAACTTTGATAATTCATCTGTCGGATTAATTAAGTCTTGAAGTAGTTCTTCAAATTCGGTTAGAAGTGATTTTCGATGTTCATTTATATGTTCTTCACAGAGAGACCAATGACAATGGTTCGTACATGTAGAATGAATAGGATAGAAGCAATTCGGATGTTGACATGACATCTAGAATTCAAAATTTTTTTTTAGAAAAAATTACGAAATAGAGATTTCATGAAATGAAAACAAAAATCTTTTATTATAGTTTGTTCGGTATTACGATTGTCTATGAAAATGATGATCGGTCGTCTGAAATAAACAATAAGAAAAACAAATTATAATTAGTTATTTGATTATTGAATTTGTTCAAGAGAATTTGAAATAAATAGTTTACAATCAAATTAGACCATTTATTATCTTATGAAACGACACCTCGGATTATTGACAGTACGTTTTATGATGAGAATAGGAAAAGCAAAAAAAAAATTTCGCCTCTGATGATCTTACTAAATGTGGATTCAAAATGGTTTTGGATATTTCTGTTTGCTAGTAGTGATTCGAATTATATACTCTTCCTTTTGTCAATATAAACTAAACAACGTAGCTTCATCTAAGAATAAACTTCTTAAAGTTTATTTTAGTCTTATCAAGATCTACTTGAAAGTAGACTATGGAATCGAACAGTATTTTACAGTTAGGAACAATTAATGTTGAAATAATATTGTTTCAAGAATTTTCAAAGTCGATTGGTATGGAAAGAGTATTGAACAATTTGATCGACTACGATATAATATACTTATGCATTTCGAGAAAAGATTAAATTTCCCTATGCTCTTTTAAACATTCTTGAAACCGTCATATTGGACGTGTTGAGAATCAGCTCCAACGATTTGAAACAAAACAAAAATGTCGATTGTTGGTTTTAGTACTTTATGTAACGTAGGAATCGGAAGAGCGACTCTTTCATACAAATTAGATTCACCCTTCTCGAAAGTATCTATCAACTACATTGAAGTTCTAAATGGTTCTTTCGGAAGACAAAAACTCTATAATATTCTGTCAGATTTCTCCATTTATGATAGATTTAGCTCAGAAAAGATCAAACTAAATCATAATCCGTTTCAACAATAATGAAATCTAACAAAATTTCATGATCTGATTGCGATTTTATGAACAAGACTCGGCATCGTAGCTATCTATGAACGTTTTTCATATTAATATATACAATAAAATAACGATGTTATTTTATTATAAAGCATTCGATTTTGGCTCTACTTTTTTTTTAAAAAATACTAACCAAATTACAATAATAATTTATGTACATTGAGTTCTTCTTGTTGTTCTATATATATTCATTTTCATTAAAAGCATGTTCCGTTATATCATCTTTTTTTTGAATTGTTTCTAGCATTTTATTACATGTCTTTAATGTCAAATGATGAACTTGTAATAAATGTTTTTTTAATGAACGCTTAAACAATGGTCTTCTACAATTAATAGATTCCATTTTACTTAATGGACATCGAATAAGATGATAATGTTGATCAATAATATCTGTTTCAGATTGAAAAATACATGTTGTTAAAGGATTTAATTTATTAATTATAGCTTTTGTTAATGTATATGATAATTTATTTGTTAAATGATGATAACGATGAAAATGGTTTAATAAATAAAGATCAGGTGTTTTTTTCTCAGATGAACATAAACGTAATTTATGTTTGTCTGTCAAACCATATATGCCAAGACGAGTTAATGGACATTGACCACGATGATACGATATCTCGTCATATTTTGTATTAGCATTTGTTGCATGAACACAATAAACATCCGAATCAGTATTAAAATTGAATGACGAAGACGTTTCAATGTCATGCTTATTACTAGAAGAAAGAATACAAAACCAAGAATGAAAATTTCTACATCTTAAAAGACAAAATTTCTATTACGTTTCTATTGTGATTTTATCATGATGATATTCACGTAGTGTTGTTAAATATAATTTAATTTGTTCAATATCATATTGATAAAGAAAAGCTTGACCATTTTTAACATCAGTTAAAAGTTGAAGTTTCTTTTTAATTAATTTCTGTGTTGAACTAACTAATAGAAATTCTTGTTCCAACCCATTTAATTTATTATTATGATTTTCATTAATTATAGAGATATCTTTTTGATAATTATTTTCGAGATTTTTTTTTGCTTCTTCAACTGAATTAATCAATTCATTTAATGAGTCACTAAGATTATTAAACGATTTTTCATATTGAACAAGAAACAAATTTCTATGTTCAATTATATGTTCTTCACAAAGATCTAATTGACAATGGTTTGAACAGATTGTCGAAATTACACGAGTACACAATGGATGTTCACAGATTTCAGACATGATTGTGGGTATTTTTTGAGAAAATAACTATCCAATGATTTGTATTTGAACAAAATGAATGAAAAAGATTCTAAGCGTTTAGAAGGAGGGTTGATGAGAAAGAAACAGAAGTGGTTTTTTTCGTTCAAACATAATAGAGGTCACTAGTAATAAAATAAAATAGACTGATCGAATAATAATATCTAAAGATTTGATAAGCTACTATAGGAAGTTCTGTTGGCGGCTGATGTTACGGCAGAACATAAGCCCTGTGGGGCTTTGGATAGAATAGAACGAAACGAAATAAACGTCCTATGAAATCAGTTACTTTGGCTCATCTCATTCCATGAAATTCGACTTTGATAATTTTCTTTTTCTCTCATTTCCGTTTATCTTTATCTGTGACTGTTTAGGTTAATGAGCTTAGCACTTTGATGTTTATACACTGCTCAAATGAATCCCACTTGGCTCTATAAAAAAAATAATCGGTCTTTTGAGTACGACGAACTTGTCGAACATCTATGAATATGAGAGTTCATTCATTCGAATTGATTAAAATCATCTTGAATCTACTGAATTCGGTCAACATGCAGAGCCCACTGTTAATGTAGTGCGCAACGCAGCATTTATTTAGTTTTTCGCGAGTTTCTTTCTTTACTTTCCAGGTACATAACTCGAATCATTATTTTGTATAGCAATGATATCAAAAGCGGAAAGTCGTACAATATTCGTTCAGACATTGTTACAAAACCATGTACCTATACGATAAGTTTCTTTTATCAAACTCTGATATGAAGTTCCATTCCTTCTCCATTCACTTCACAAAATGATAAGTTTAAAGGAAAAACTCTCTTTCGTTTCAAGATAATGAAAATGTGTTTCAGCAGCAAATATAGCTAGATCGAATTTTGTTACCATCGTTCAAGTTTTCGTCATATCAAGGGTTGATGATTGAATATTTAAAATGTCTTGACTAGCCTCGTATTCTACATGAAATTAAAATTAATATGACAACAAATAAATGTAACTGATTTAATTTAAGTTTTGGTTCATAAAAGTTCCTGAGCATTATTAGAATGCCTAGAGTGCTAGCCAAGCATATGCCTGCTTTCGATGAGTAAGACCAAAACCAAGTTGAAATTTTTTCTTTCTTCAGAAATTTTAATTTATCACATATTATTTCATTCGATTATATGTTCTTTTGATTAAAATATAGAAAAATAATCGAAACAAATTAGTTAAATTATTCATAAACAAATTTTTATATTCGAACGAATAGCTGCGATGTCTTCTCAAAATTGTATCTTGAATTGACTATAAAAAATCAACTACTGAAGTCTCAATCGAAAAAGAAAAGAAGAAAAACCTGCACAAATAGGAATTGGCTGTGTAGTTTCAAAAAAAAAATATGCATTGCTCTATTTCTATTACCAATACTATTTTGCTAGTCTCAATCCTGTTAACTCCTGGAGAAAGCTCGGAAGAGCTTGTCAAGTTTTTATCTTGAATTCTAATAAGTCCTGTTTGCAGGATTTGTTCAAATTTCTGCTGAAATAGTTTTCCAAAATGAGGATCGAAGATTCTATCAGATTCACTCTCCATGCTAGTCCAGTTCTTCACAACAATACCAAAGAGAAATCTACCAAAATCTTATCAAATTTATGTTAAGATCTCATTGAAACCTTCGTATTATGAGCCTATTATAGGATTTATAGCTACATTCAACGATAATCTTAGCAAGAGAAGAACAAGATCAGCCAGAGTCATAAACTAACAAGTCCTGACAAGCTTTCACAGGATCATGCTTTAACTCTTACATATGTTCGTTATGAGAATCTTTTTGTCAATTTTCAGGCTCCTATTCAAAGCTTTTCATGAATAAGAGTTTCGAATTCTTACACCACAATGCCAATTATAATCAGAATGTTGACAGGACAACATAAGAATTCCAATAAAGATCTTTGCATATATTATTTATCTTGTTGAGTTCTGTTCATTTCTTCAGAAAACTTAAGAAGAATTCTGAGAAGTTTTATTTGGAATCATGTTTGGGAATTGTTTTCTGAATTGAGAATGCAAAGTCCTATCAGGATTCTCGTAGGACTAGCGGACAAGAGTCTACCAAGATTTCATCGAGTTTTAGTCATGACCTGTTCTGCATCCTAATACGAAGATCTAGTCGAGAATTGTAGTCACATCAGAGGATGATCTTAAAAAGAATGAAACAAGAGTAGTCAGAATCATAAACAAATAAATCCTGCCAAGTTTCTATTAGGATCCTGTTCGGGTTTTTCAAAACATGCGTTTTCGGATCCTTAAAAAAACAATACCAACCATGATCGAAATCGTGATCGGAAAATACTAGGATCTGGTTTAGATCTTTGATGGTTTGTCTCTAGTCTGTACTCAGACTTTGTTGTTCAGGATCCTATAAAGATGTGCCATTCATTGTGCTTAGGATTCTGAAAAAAAGGTTGGTTGATGTAAAAATTCCATCAAGGTTTTAGCTAGTTTTTATTCGTAATGTCTTCAAGGTTTGTAAATCTTCAGATGAGAACACGAATTTCGATGTCTATCTTGAATGGGATTTCAAACATGATAAATGGAATGGGTTTTTGAAGTTTACATTTTGTCTTGTTACGAGTCTGACAGAATCGTGAAATCTATCAGGTCTCAACCCTGTCCATGATTGTACCTTTGTGTCAACAAACAGGGAACTTAAGGCAAAATCCCAGAATTTTTTTTTATAGATCTCTTAAACATTTATATTGAAACGAATACAAGCTTTAAGCCTGAAACACCAATTTTTTGAAGTTCATTTTGAGAAAGATTTCGAAAAATTATAGGATGTTAATTTCATTTTAGTTATTGAACTAATTATTTTCATTTAAATACGTACTATTATTAAGAAGCACACCAAGGGATAAAACCTGTTCATAATTTGGATTACGTGTAGAAAAAAATTTAGAGTTAGATTTTTTTTAATGAAATTGCAATGAATACAAAATATTAATAGAGGTTTGGAAACTCAAGATAAAATTTAAAATGATATTGTATTTTAAAAATGTTATGAGACGATGTGTGCTTACAAAAAACGAAGGGTGTGAGTGTGAGATGTTGATGGAGAGAAGAGTGACATCGACAAATACACTTACTCACACCCCTTTTAGTTTCTTCTTGATTGCTTGCTTGCATGTATCGATTTCAAGTTTCTTATTTGTTTTCATACAATCTACTATGATCGTGACCAGTAAATGAACAGTAAAAGGTTTGGTTAAGCCTAAAAAATAAACATATACATGATCTTTTTAGGTAGAATAGCTACTTCTGTAATCAATAGAGAGAATCTCATCAAATTAAAAGGAGAAAAAAATAAGCGACATACGAGAAAGAGCAAAACGAAGGAGGTTTACACAACATTTTTCAATGCTTTACAATTGAAAATAAAAAATTTAGTGTAGTACTTGATACCAATCAGATCAGTGTGTGTGCATGTTTAACAAAACATGTGGCAAGTTAATTTGAAAGACAAACATGACATGAACGACGATTTTTATACTGCATCAGATAATTATGAACACGAGGCATACAAATAAATGTTGTTGAAATAGCTGTCCACCACTTCGTATAATGCCTTTCTTATTATGTCTTTTTTTATTTTTACGTCCTCGCTATTATGATTATTTCAACTGGATGGGGTGTGGGTGGAGTATGAGTGGGTGTGAGATGTGGACGAAGAGAAGGCCAATATTGGTGAACACACTCACGTATACTCACCCGTGTCCGCATCAAATGTTGGTCATTAGCTATACTCGCTTTTCTAAAACTATCATACAATTGGGCAATGCTTTCATGATGTTTAAAAGCTATCATTTTGATATATCAATATTCTATGGTAAAAGCATCGCTTAACAGGCCGATGGTAATCATGAATTTCAACATCAAGGACAAAGTCTTTAAATGTATGTGAATGCAACAAGTCTATCAAGCGAAGGATTGAAGAAAAATCCACAACGCTAGTATCATTATGACATCATTATATGATTATCGCTCATCTCAACATTCATCAATACCCAAGTCATTATCAACAATTGATATATCTACATGATCGACTTATTCGAACATTAGTGGGACACAGGTTTTTATTTTGTAACAATCATCTGACTTCAATTCTTGCTCTTGCATCACCAAAAGCTATTCAACTTCTTGGTAAAAATGCATATTGAAACAGCAACGGTACTTTCCCCACTGCATCTCGACTCAATTACCTAAGCTATAGTATTCACGTATGGGACAATTACAGTATGAAACCCATGGTATATGCTTCATTATCTAACAAAAATGTTAAAATATGTAGTATTTTATTGACAGAATCAATATTATGTGATCCACTCAATGATACTTTATTCAATCTGAAATCTATTTTAAGTCATTTTGAAAATGCCTTCTTCAATGCTTTTTTTTTTAAAAACTTTCCAACAGCGAGAATCACAGGATGCTATTTCCACTTCTCTCAAAATATTTGGTGGTAAATTAAGAAAGTGGTTTCGTTAATTTATCAGATGATGATGAAGTGTGTCGACAAATAGTACATATAATTATGTTATCATCGCAAGAAGTTAATGAAACTTATCATTTTCTCGATCATTGTGGAATCTATTCGATCTAATTGATATTCAACATAAAACTAATAATCATATAGAAGATTATCATGGTCGATTAGATACTCATTGTTAAACATACCCAAGTTTTTGGGCGTGGATAAGGTACATTCAAGAATCAGAAAAATCAACTATGGTGTGAGTCGAAAAAGAACGAGTCCAACAACGTACAACACGTCCTAAAAGAAACCAAATCAGCGACAAATGAAAATATTTTGGTTCAAGCGAAGCAGGATTATTTACATGGTCTTTTGGATCTTTATAGTTACTAAAACAGATTACGTTCTCTTCGTTATCGATACATCAAGGTATTTGCTAAAATTAAAAAAGATAACCTTAGTTCTATACCTAAACAATGTT